GAGAAGGAGGGCTGGCTTTGGCTGTGCTCTGCTGACCATCTCCTGTATCCTGTCCACGATCTCTGACCGTCTCCTGTATCCTGTCCACAGTCTCTGACTGTATCCTGTCTGCAGTCTCTGATCTTGTCCTGTAGTACAGTCATGGCCAACAATATTGGCACCCCTGCATTTTGAGGCATTCTCATGTTTATTTCTTTTGTTTGTATTGGTATGACACAAAAAAGTGGAGAAACAAAAGCCAAATCTGACACATTCCACGCAAAACTCCAAAAATGCACTGGACAAAATTATTGGCACCTTCTCAAAATTGTAAGAAATAATTGCATTCAAGTTCATGATGCTCTTGTAGTTTGTAATTAAAATCACGTGTATCAATTAATGGGTGCTGACAATATGGGAACCACATCGGCAACCAGTCAAGATGGTGAAAATTTGACACAACCTTTCTGTTGTGTGTCGATGTGTTCAACATGGAGCATGGAGAAGAGAAAGAGCAGCAAAGAATTGCCTGAGAATTTGAGAACAAAATTGTGGAAAAGCATGGACAATCTAAAGGTTACAAGTCTATCTGCAGAGATTTTAATGTTCCTGTGTCCACTGTGCACAACATTGTCAAGAAATTTACAGCCCATGGAACTGTAGCTAATCTTCCTGGACATGGATGAAAGAGAAAAAACTGATCAAAGATTGCAAGGAAGGATTGTTCAAATGTTAATTTCCAGACAAATTCAAGCTGACCTTCAGGCACAGGGTACAACTGTGTCAGCTTGCACTATATGTCGCCATCTGAATGAAAAGGGATGCTATGGTAGGAGACCCAGGAGGACCCCCACTGCTGACACAGAAACATAAAAAAGCCAAATTGGAATTTGCCAAAATTTACCTGAGGAAACCAAAATCCTTTTGGGAGAATGTGATGTGGACATATGAAACAAAATTACAGCTTTTTGTTAAAAACCATCATTCTACTGCTTTCAGAAAAATAAAATTAAACATTTTAAACAAAAGAAGATAATCACTACAGTCAAACATGGTGGAGGTTCACTGATGTTTTGGGGTTGCTTTGCTGGTTCAGGCACTGGATGTCTTGGCCATCTGCATGGCAGTATGAAATCTGAAGACTACCAAAGAATTATGGGGTGCAATGTAGGGCCCAATGTCAGAAAGTTGGCTTTCCATCAGAGGTCATGGGTCTTACAGTAGGACAATGAACCAAAGCACACATCAAAAAGCACCCAGAAATGGTTTCAGACAAAGAGCTAGAGAGTACTGAACTGGCCAACAATACATCCAGATCTCAATCTCACAGAGCTCCTGTGGAGAGATCTCAAAACAGCAGTTGGGAAAAGGAAACCTTCCAAGCTGAGAGACATAGAGCAGTTGGCGAAAGAAAAGTAGTCCAAAATGCCAGCAGAGAGGTGTAAGAAACTCCTTGATGATTACAGGAAGCCATTGATTTCAGTAATTTTTTCCAAGGGATGTGCTACCAAATATTAAATTGAAGGTGCCAATAATTTTGTCCAGTGCATTTTTTGAGTTTTGCCTGGAATGTGTCAGATTTAGCTTTTTGTTTCTCCACTTTTTTGTGTCATGCCAATACAAACAAATTAAATAAACATAAGAATGTCTAAACAATTCTAATGGCAACAATTTTCTGGGCAAAGTGGTGCATTTTCTGACAGAAATGCAGGGATGCCAATATTTTTGGCCATGACTGTATGTCCGAAGTTTATGACTGTCTCCTGTATCATGTCCGCATTCTTGACCTTCTCCTGTATCATGTCACAAGTCTCTCACCGTCTCCTGTATCATGTCCGCAGTCTCTGACCTTCTCCTGTATCATGTCCGCAATCTCTGACCTTCTCCTGTATCATGTCCGCAGTCTCTGACCTTCTACTGTATCATGTCCGCAGTCTCTGACCTTCTCCTGTGTCATGTCCGCAGTCTCTGACCTTCTCCTGTGTCATGTCCACAGTCTCTGACCTTCTCCTGTATCATGTCCGCAGTCTCTGACCATATTCTGTATCTTGTCCACAGTATCTGACTGTTTCCTATATCATGTCTGCAGTCCCTGACCATCTCCTGTAGTATGTCCATAGTCTCTGACCATCTACTGTATTATGTCCACTGTCTCTGACTGTCTGACTGCCTAGGGCAGCACAAAACCAAAATACACCACTGAATACTGGCATATCCAATGCACTCCTTCCCTGCATAAACTGAGCATCGTGGTACCTTTCATACCCTTCTCTGTCATACTTCTGTCTTACCCTCCACATTCATCCCCTGAACATACTATCCAGTGTCATTTCCTTCTTACTCATCTCCTGCACTCTTCTTCAGATATACAGTACACAGTATTTATACAGTATATACAGCCACCTTGTCCTAAGTTTAGTCTTGCTGGGTGGGTGGTAGTCAGCCTTGCAGGGGCATTTCTGGGGTCCTAATAGACCAGGATCTGGTCACAAAGATGAAAATGTTGAAGGGCTGGTAGGATACTATGATGACTACTTTGGATAAAATCTAAGACAAATGTAATCTTTTTTTAACTGAACAAAAATGCATTGGTCTAAAAATTGTACTGTTACATTATGATGGCAAAATTAGTAATAGATGGATTTAAAAATAGCTAAAATATACAATGTTCCAAAACTATATAACTGCTTAGAATGTATCATCCCTGTGTCTCACAGGAGACCCAGGACACCCAGTAGAAGACATGGCACATGTGCCCTGGAAGTCAGGCTCTATTGAACACTCCTACAGTCAAGGCTAATTTATAGTTTATATGTTCATTTGGTTTTCCCCAAAACACAGTGATGCTAACATTTTCCTCTGCTGGTCAGTAGGTGTCACTGGTACCTCTGGCAATAGAGTGAGATGGAATAGTACCGGTTCATTCACACTGGAATGTAAAAAACTTTGCTTCCACAGAAGTTTTGTGTTTTGGCTGTAGAAGCAGCTCAATGTTATCCTATGTGTTCATGCACATTAGGCTGTTTATATGAATATTTTTAAGCTCAGTGTTTAGAGGCAGAAAGAAAATCCTTCTGGTTTGTGATTTTAGAGATTTCTGACAGAAAAAAAAATGATATGCTCTCCTAAACACCGATACGAAAACAATCTATATGAGCATTTTTTTCTGCCAAGGGCACTGGTATTTTTATTAAGCCAAGTGTGCATGGACCCTAATACTGAGCTAAGAATATTTATTTTTCCTCTAGCCAACCAGTAGGAGTTGTATTGTCCCTGGCACATGCTGGAGGATAATATAAATATTTGGGGTAGATCTTGTGATCTCTCTCTTTGCCCCTGGCTTTGGCCCAAAGATGTATTTGGTGCAGCTGTGTGACTAGGCCTGCGACCTAGGAAGCCTTTGCACGAGTGCAGTGCAAGTTCCTGGCAGAAGGAGCCTATTTGCTAAATATAGTGGAGAGAAGAGAGATACAACAGCTACTGGAAAAGGTACAGGTTGCTGGTTTCAGCCTAAAGACTCTGTTGGCCTGCATTGATGTCTATAGATGGAGTGAGTGAGTGTCACGGTGTGAGGTCAGGTTCAGAGACCAGTAGCTATAGCAGCAGACCAACCAACAGGATAAGTAAACAAGCAGGTCACCCTGGGAAATGACCTGAGGTGAAGGGTCTAAGCACTAACCGGTATTCACCAGAGCTCCTAATGGTGGAGGTGGATTTTGCTGCATGTTAGTACCAGGTTGCAGTTTTCAGGATCACCCCACCAGGAAGTGAGCAAGCCAGGATCCAGTAACTGATATGGCAGGTAGGGATCTAGCAGAAGCGTAGTCAGTAAACAAGCCAAGGGTCGGTAACAAGCGGTAGCAGGTTTGGATGAGGCAGAATCGTAGTCAAGGAACAAGCCAAAGGTTGGTAGCGAAGTTATGGATGGCAGCAGGAGAGACAAAGCGAGATACTGGCTGGAGAGCACAATAATCTGGCAACCAAGAAGTGCAGAGACATGAATTAAATCACGAAGTTCATGGGAGGAGCAAGGAGTTCAAGGTTCATCAGAAAACAAGGCACAAGGCAGGTATCTCAGTGAGAAGAGTTATGGCCTGACACAGAAGAGGTCCCAGGTTCAAGTCCAGGCCCTGACAGTGAGTCTGTAAGGCAGCAAAGGTGTTCTGAGTTCTCTGCCATTTTTTAAATATGATGCTGGGAGGAATAAAGTCCTTAAAGGAACCGGTGCCCAATTGTTGCACATCCCCCACCTTTTAGTCCTGGACTCAGCCCTGGAAAAATGCCAGGCTGCTCTGCCTCTGGCAGGTTCCCCACATGCCTCTAGGGGTCAGGAGGAGTGCTACATATAAAGTATACACAATATATTAAAACTGAAAGTGGTGTATTAAGAGGGCTCAACATATTTTATACGTAGTGGCTGTTTTGTTGGTTTTTTTTAGTTATTTTCCCTTTTATTTGGGTAGGAGTTGGGGAAAAAGTGAAGCCAATTCCTTCTTAGTATACTTCTCCTGCACATATTGCCCACCATTGTACCTTCCAAAATTCTCTCCCACACATAATGTTTACTGCCTTATCCTCCACATTCACTTCCAGTACATAATGCCCACTGGTATACCTTCCACCCTTTTCCTTTGCATATAATGTCTGTTTTCATACCCTCTGCACTCTGTTTCTGCACATGATGCCTACTGTTATACCCCTCACAGCCTTGTACAAACTGTCTGCATTTAGGTCCCAATGTCATACCCTATACATCGCTACTTCACTAACGACCTGCAAAAACACTTTTTTAGAGATGTTTGCAATATCCCTAACATTGCCATCCCTAACATTGCCTATTATGAAATTAGGACTTCTGTAACACTTTACCAGATCAAAAGACCAGTTGTGTTATTCTATAAGTGTAAAAACTAAAATAATATTCTAGGGTTATTTGTGCTATTCTCTAACTGTAAAATTGAAAGAGCTTTTCAAGGGTTATTAAGGCACTATAAATCACATAGTAAATTAACATTTCTTACTCTGTATATCTGGGTATTTGATCATTAGCAAGAGGCTCCATTGCAGAGTGGTAGAGGTTGTCTCCATCCCAGCCACAAAGAGGTTGTCCACCAGAACAGTCAGGTTGTCATTGTGGAAATAAACGGTAGATTCTGGATTTCCCTGCACAATTAAAATAGAAGATTAATGCCTAACTCTAGACAAAACTTTTTTTGGATACCATGCCCTAGGCGGGGGCACAGAGGGTGCCACTTGTGCTGTGAACACCAGCACTGACTTTTGTTTATAAACTTCTTTGCCTGCAGATCAGTCTGCTTAGGAGTCCAACTTTTTGCCATTTCACCCAGCCCCGAAGGAACTTTTGTAAACTATTTTTTCTGGGTATGCAGTACCGAGACAAGGTTATCCAGTGTCCAGGGTGAAGATGGCAAACTGCACTTTTGGGCACACCAAGGAGAGCAGTAATGTAATGCACTGTCACCATGTGGCACAATCCCGGCCCTTTGAGTATGTGATTTTTGTGCATCTGTTTTCTTTTGCTCGGGTGTGTTTTTGTAGTCTTGTCTCTTTGACTTTTTAGACAAATTGGTGTTCCCTATATATAGATTTCCTATTTTGTAGGATGCAATAAAAAAAGTTCTCAGGATCAAATGTCATGTAGTTTGTAATCGTTTTATATACTGTACAGTGTAAGGCTGTGGTTTATTTTGCTTTTTTGCTGCCCTAGGCAAGACTAATATCGCCCCCCCATCTAAATTTGTTGCACGACTTGTCCAGAGCCTGCAATCATGTACACCTTGCACATGCCCCTAGTGCCCATACTCACAGTTAACTTTTACAACTATGCCCACATTCACAAATACCTTGTATATCTTGTCTGTTCCCCACCTCCATGACCATACTCACATGTACCTTGTACATTGACCTCCCCAGTGTCCCTATAATAAAATGCACATTTTAAATCCCTGACCCTAAAGTGCCCACACTCACATGCACCTTGTACACCCCCTCCTCTCCCAGTGCCTACACTCACTTTTGTATATTCCCGGTGCCCACTCACAGACATCTTGCACCATCTCCTCACCCCCAGTGCTTGTACATTCCTGCTTCCCCCTCTAGTGCCCACTCACATATACCTTGTACATTCCCTCTTCTCAGTGCCTATACTAACATACATCTTGTAACACCCCCCGCCCCCCTCCCCTTCAGTGCCTGCACTCCCATGCACCTTGTACACCCAAAGTACAAGGGGACTTTACAAGTTATATGTGAGCATGACTCACACTCACATATAACTTGTAAAGCCCCCCCCCCCCCCAGTGCCGACAGTCACATACACCTTGTACTTTGTTCACACAGTGTGAGCACTGTGGGGTATACAAGGGGAGTGTCAACACTGGGGGGGCTTTACAAGTTAAATGTGAGCATGACTCACACTCACATATAACTGGTAAAGCCCCCCCACCCCAGTGCCGACAGTCACAAACACCTTATAGTTCCCCCACTGCTCATACTCACATACAACTTGCACATGACACACTGCTCACACCCCTATTCAATCCCTTACTAGAGCTGGAGAGCAGTAGACATAGCGAGCCAACCATGCCTACCCACCACCGTGCGTGTGTCAGTGGAGTTCTGCACAGCTTTAGTCCCTGACATTGCTCCAGATTTATTATCACTTGTGCGGATGAGGGGGTGGGGGTGGATTATGCAGTGGGAAATTGAACTACAACAAGCAGATCACAGAAAGGAGGGAGAGAGAGCAAACAGAGAGAGTGATCGAGGGCAAAGACAGTCTGTGCGAGGACCGCAGCGGATCCGTCCATCCTCATGGGAGATGGAGCTTGGCTGTGACAGTTGTCCAGCCCAGGGGAACTAGTGGAGCTGCAGGAAAATCAACTCGGGAGTCACTGAGTTGCCCTGCTCTGAAGACCGCTCACACATGTGTGTCCCTACTTCCGGGGGGCGGTGCGCAGCCCCCCCACGAAAGGTGCTGCCCTAGGGTGTCTTATAGTCCAAAAAATAAAAATTGAGAAATGAATACGTCCCACTTGAAATCACTTCTTTGTACTGTTGAAATCCTCAAAGGCCAGCTTCCGCAGAAACCCTCAAAGAAATCAAAAACTCAACATAGTGCATTAACTTAATAACTTGATACATAACACTCCACACATGCGTTTAAAAAGCATTAGTGCAAAAATTGTGAAAAAAGAAACCACAGCAACACTTGTGCCAATCCGAATGACCGGGGAACTGGCTTGTGATACCATGAGGGGATGAGATTATAACCATAACGTTAGGAGTGGAGGCAAAGAGGCTGAGCAGTGTTGCAGACTTCTCTATATTATACCCCACAGCGGTCTTTATATTTTGATTTTGGTAAGGGTATATATGCTATATGTATTAGAAGTAATACACTATTGAAGTGATTACACTGAGTGGAACACATCACTGTTCTGGCACAAGTGTTGCTGTGGTTTCTTTTTTCACAATTTTTGCACTAATGCTTTTTATACGCACGTGTACAGAGTTATGTATCAAGTTATTAAGTTAATGCACTATGTTGAGTTTTTGATTTCTTTGAGGGTTTCTGCGGCAGCTGGCCTTTGAGGATTTCAACAGTATAAAGAAGTGGGACGTATTCATTTCTCAATTTTTATTTTTTGGACTATAAGACACTGGACACTTATTGATATAGTGTGTATGATCATATGTGTTTGGACATTTATCATTTGGAATGCATGTATTGATTATTATATTTTTTTGAATAGGGGATTTTTTCACTAGTGGTGGGTTGGATGATTCTTTTGGAGCAATTTTTGATGTTTACAACTTTCTAGGGTGGAAAGTTATTTCTATTTAGAATCGTGTAGTTGATTGGGGTGTTTTGAGGATTCTACCACATTTTATATTTATAGTCTTGACAGCAGTAAACCATGCACGAGACAGGGACACTTTGGAAATAGTCCTAGTAGGTTTGTCTTGCAACTTTATTCAGCAAGACAATACACAAACACAACTCAGAGTAGGAGGGCTTTGTACAGCAATTCCATAGCACGCAACAAACAAAACATGTTTGTTTGAGGCACTTGCTAAATCTGAACTGCTGCCAATACCAATATTGCTGCTGAGAGGGATGTTTCCTAATGGTTCCTCAAAACAAACAGTCCATTTTAGCTTTCTGTCAGTAGCCAATATTTAGCAGAGGCAGCATACTTTCTGTCAGGGTCCTGTCCACGGCAGAAGTTCTGGAAGATCTGGCATTTCTGCCAGTACTCTACATGGCCGCAGAGGTACACATCAGCCTCAGTCTGGTGCCAGGCGGCCTTTATAAGGAGGCTCATCACTTCCTCTGGTTGCTAGATGATCTCTAGCTCCCCGTGCCCTGTTCCTGGTTCTGTTTCCTGTGATTCTGACTTGTGATTTCCTGTTACCGACTCAGTTTGCTCCTGGACCTGTCTACTCTGATTTACCCCTGGTCTGACCTCGGCTTGGCTTACCGATACTCTCTCTCGCTCCTCTGTGAATGACCTCGGCTTTCCCATCTGACTATGTCCGCTCTGATTCCCACCTGGTACCTGACCTTGGCTTGAACCGATTACCCAGTAAACATCCAAATCCCAGAAGGGCTTGCATACCACGCACAGGCACCTCCTGTCTGCAGACCTATCTCCATGCACCAGCTGTACTTCTGAGTGGACCACCAACCAACACTCCTACAGGCGACCTGTGCAACTTTGGGCCTGACTCCCGCTGTCCCACTCTCAGGGGAGTTTGGAACTTAGCTGAAAGGGAAACCCTCTCTCCATTGGCCTCCATCACCAGGTATGTGATACTTTCAAAGAGCAGATGTAGAAAGTCCTGAGCCTTAGTCAGCTCACATCTATGAAGGCCTATGGATATCTTAGCCTAATTAATTAAGTTTGTCTAACAGGTAAAATGTGAACATAGAACTTGAGGCTTTATCCCACCCAAAGCTCTACAAAGTCTCCCAGGTTCCAGACCAGAACTTATCAGGATCTGAAAAAACAAAAGGTTTTTATTTCCCCATAGCCATGGTTTTTAACCATAACTTTGTGGAGCTCCTCATAATGTGTAGGTGAGAAACTTAGGTCTTGTATTCACCCTACACAAGCCTGCCAGCCAAGTCTTTCAGTAGTTGAAAACAATATGTGAAGAATATGATCTCTAGATTATATAACCCCTGAAACACGTTGGCAGTTCAAGACAAGCAACGGTAAGATGACTGCAGAGGCTGACATGTTCCCCTTCCTCTGCATTCCTCTTGCCATTGCTTGTCTTGGGAAAGTGTAACTGAGACAAGCTGCAGCTTTGAATCAGGAGTCTCCTTCAAATCTGTTGTTAGATTGTCTGTCTGTTTGAGAGTAGGGGAAGGGGGGAAAGTTTGTAATCATAACCAGGGACAAAAAACATTTAGAAACATGGGGCAAAGTACTGTACGGACTGTGTCCCATAAGGGATATGATTGTAAAATAAAAATTTGCAGGATAGATACATTTTTAAGTTGACAAGGGGTATTTGAATAAGGCCTTTTATAATAAAAGAGTAATGTTAATAACATGCAGTGTTCTCTACCAGAAAATTGCAAGAAAGTGAGTGGTAAACAAAGCCAACTATTAAAATGTTTATTTCTAAGGTGACTTAAAATATACAGTATGTATTTTGCTTTATTTATTGAATCAACAGATATTAAATAGTAAGAAAGAATGTCTACCTCTTGTTGCTTTGCCAAGAAGGCATCAATGAAGTTCCTTTGGTCATTTATATCCAGTTCCTTTTTCTGTTTTGTAAATACCTCCTTTATGAAATTTTGAGTTGATTTGAAATTTTCAAAAATCTTTTGATGGGCGCCAGGGAGTAAGCCTATCAGTGTTGGATAGCTGTTGTAAAGCTTGATGAACCAATTACAAAAATCAAATTGGTCATATAAAACAACACATTGTATACAGTATAAACAACTGACTGGCTATTATAGACAGTTTATTTTATTTCCATAAACTACAAAAATTGTGGTTTAGGTTTTTTAGGTTTAACATTTAACTATCATTTAAACAGTATTACCTAGCAGAACAACAGTGTAAGATGGGTGCAAGTATATTTGGGATAGGGTTGTGCTTGGGACCTTTATCTGTGTGTCTTTGGCACTCTAAATGGTCAGGAGCCAAATGCTACACTCCTGGCAGCCAGCCCAATGGTTTAGAAATCGCAAATTGCATGCAAACCATAGTCAATGGAAACTTCAGGGGTTAAGGATTAGTAAAAAAGCAACCCTTAAAAAGTAACTCCTCTTTTAATCTACCAGTATCTGAACTTGGACTATCCAGCTCACCTATCTCTGCTGATGTTGATACTTACTCTGACCATAGTGCTTCCAAAGGTCCTGATATTTTCACTAATCATGCGCATGAGCTTTAGTATGATTGGATCATCATATTCAAATCTCTTACCAAGTAATATAGACACAATTATGTTGGCTACAGCTGTGTTGACGATGGTCAAATTATCAAAGGGATTTCCTAAAAACAAAAGCAAACATCAGCAATAGCTGTAAGTCTGACACTAATAAGCTGTAAGTCTGACACTAATAAGGTCATATTAACCGCAAACTAAGTATAGACTATGGGGGTCATACTGAACACAGTGCACCCTCTTTTCTCCAAAATACACAAGTCATCAATAAATTATAAGATTTAAAATATTCTGTATGAGACACCTCTCATAGAACCTGCACTAGCCCACAACCAGCTTGAGACATGAAGGAAACTATCATAATTCACATTACAATGTTCCACGCACACCATCTTTGACAAGGTACAGGCCTAGTATTATTAAACGCATTAGCAGAAATCTGGCATGCCAGAATACTAATAGCCATAATAAGCGCCACTGTAAATTTGCTACGCCATTAAACCTCCAGCAGAGTTTAACTGACCTTAATGCATATGGCAATTGGCTGTTATAAAACCATTTAGAGCAACACACAGTTGAGTCTGGATTTAATGGACTGTGCCAACAGGGTCACCCACAGAATGAATTTGGCCAGTTCAGCAGGAATTGCACACAATTTATCAATATATATGGACAGCCTAAAGTGTTACTAAAGGCAAAGAGTTTTTAACTTAAATTAACAAACATGTTATATTCACCTGCTCTGTGCAGTGGTATTGTATTGCAGAGTGGCCCCAATCCTCCTCTTCTTGGGTCCCCTGCTAGCGATCCTGGCTCCTCCTACTTTCTTTGTGGGCCCCCATAGCAAGCTGTTTGCTATGGGGATAAACGTTGCATGCTCGCTTCCAACCTGTGTATCTACAGAGACATTCTCCATAGACACACACAGCGAGACTTAGCCCTGCCCACCCATTTCCTCTTCACCGCACCTGATTGCCAATGGCTCCAGCTCCTGTTGGAGTCCCTGTGTATAGAGTAAAAAAGGGGAGAGAGAGATAAAGCCATGAACGGGGCTGATCTCCTCTTCACTAGTGATGGGCCGAACACCCCCTGTTCAGTTCGAGGTTGAACATTCAAACAAACATAACAAAAGTTCGAACGTGATCTAAGTGGTATCTTACCGCAACAGAGTATGCAGTAAGATACCGCACAGCTATTAAAAACATTCTTTATTGACTTTATTACTGTCTGACAGCTGTGCCGGGATGACAGTTCTTAAATACTGTGATGACATCACAAGGAGGAGGGGTCACCCCCCACCCCATTGTGACATCATCATGTGCTGTGATTGGCCAAAGCATTGCACCTGACCTATGGTCAGGTGCATTGCTTTGGCCAATCGCAATGCACTGTCAGGGCACCCTTACCGTTTGACTCAAACATACAGCCCTTCACTACTCTCCACTCTTTTCCCCTTCACTCAGGGAAGGGGGCGTACAGGGAACTTAAAAAAGTTTTTTACCTTAATGCACACAATGCATTCAAACATGTTTTAGGTTTAGTATCACTTTAAGGCTCTTGATTGTGGTTTTTACAGTAGTGCACCCCCTAAGGAGCCTCTGGTGAACTTATTGCCCTAGTTAGAGTCACAGCCAGGCACACAGCATTTTCTAAATTTTTCCACTGGCCCAAAGGAATAGTCTAGGGGTGTCTTTATTTAGATTTTATTGGAAAACAGAACTTAGATGGGGATGAGGGAAGGATGGGTGCCCCAAAACTGAAGAACTGGACAACTTGAAGTTCTCTTTAACTATATTACTGAACTGTGAAAAGGGAATGTCCCGCAGAGTCTCTATGTTGACGGCACCTAGTACTCCTTTCAGAGATAAAAGCTACACACAGTCACTGACTTTCCAGCACTGGGGTCATTTACTCACACAGCCACAGAATCATCAGTTACCTCCTGCCAATATCCACCAGGCTCTTCTCGGTGAGGGTAATTCAGACTCACACCACTGTAGGACAGGTGGACTCTTTCCCACCAACATCCTCTTGCCTCTCTCCAGACCCAACTTCATTTTAAGACCTTAAGCCTAGTTGTGACCTCAATGTCTTCCCAATGACTCTTTCTAGTGTTCTGCCCAAGGAGAGCTCCCCAGCACAGGGGTCTCCTCCAATCAGGGGCGGACTGACAACTCATGGGGCCCCCAGGCAATAGGGGATCATGGGGCTCCTGTGTCCTTGCCCAAACTCAAAGAAGCCTATGAAAAAGGTACCAGGGGCATCTCATGGGGCCCCTTACTGACCCCGGGCCCTCGGGCAGTGCCCGAGTTACCAAATGGTCAGTCCGCCCCTGCCTCTAATAGAACGTGACCCAGGAACTTGCTGCCTCATTCCTCAGATTATTTAAGGGCTCTCCATCCACCTAATAGGCACACCTCCCCAGGGATTGGCTGCAGCCCCATAAATATTCAGGCTGCCTCTCTCCCACTATAAGTATAGAATTCTCTATAACACAGGTAATTAGAGCAGCAGCCTGTGAGACACACAACAGCCTACACTATACTATCAGGGAGTTACACCACTTTGAGTGTTTTTCCTCCTTAAGAATCATAAAATGTAGAGCAGATATAGTATGAACATGTTAAGAGTTTGGATGCAAATAGTGTGGGGCCTTACTGTGTAGCTACAAAAAGTCAGTAACAGTATTCATCTCTAAATGACTAAATATATTATGAAGGGTACAGAATAAACTCACCCTTGTGGGATCTGAATTCCTGAATTAAACATATCACTTCCTCCCTAATTTTGTTCTCTATAGATTTCTTTCCCATTCCAAAATCCCGTAGTGTTGCAATAGTGAATCTCCTCATCACCTTCCAGTTCTCTCCATGAGCAAAGACAATACCTGAATGGAAGAATAAAAAAATAATCAATGCAGACATACAATATAAATTATGTCTTTATTACATTCTGTATTTTTTCCAAAACCTCAAATTAATTTTAATTCAGCTCTTTTAAATACTTGAAATGTGTCTTTATGCAGTATTTGTGACATGGTAAGTGAAAGGTAACATTATGTTTCTGTGTGAATGCTTGTTTTATTAACTGGTGGGCAGGGTGGGGCATTACTTTGTTGGGCTTATATGAGGAATAGAGGTCTGTGTGGTCATTTCCAGTGTTGTGATACTCCCCAGTAGTCCAAAAAGCAGATAAGGTGGGGCAGTGGCATAGAATCTGTAGAATTACAATTCAGCATCTCATAATTTAAAAACTAAAACACAGCTAACCTGATACACTTTTACTGGCTAGTTCTACCTTAACTAGAATTGTCTTTAATATGTAACATATATAGTCCTTCTTTGTCATTTACAGACTGTGATTTATAGATAATATATTTTGAACTAAAAACAAATACCCATACCATTTCCATTTGTTGTTTTAGCAAACAGTGGACCATCTGGTCTTTCATAAAATTCCTCGGAGTGGTTGATTAGTGCATCTTTTATGGTGTCATAACCACATAGGACAACCAACTTCTCCAAACCCAGCTGGATACTAAATACTGGGCCGTATTTCTTGGACAGCTATAAAAACAATATGACACATAATAGAGATAATAAATAAAGAACACATATGGACCCCAAAAAACCATTGTGTACTAATGCTTACTTGACATAGCAGATACTTCTGAAAGGGCCCACTGATTTGCCCCAGGTTCCCCCAGCAGCGACAGCAGCCAGATACACAGCATCAATCACTCTTCTGGCTTAAAAAACAGTCTAGTGGTTGCCATTTTTAAAATGTATAACTGAATAACTTGTATAGGGCATAGGGATCTGTGGGATGCTCCATGAATGCTAAGCAGCAATCTGAGGACACTCTTCACTTTGTCACTACTTCACAGGACAGTCCATCTAGCAATGACTCAGAAAGTGGATAACACTGAGACACTATTAGAAATATTCCAGGCCAGGCAAGCACTAGCATTGATTCACAGAGGAAGGCAGTAGCAACAATCATTAGGATCCTTTACTCAGGTCTGTGCTCAAATGTCCCTGGATACATGGTTGTCTCCTTTCAATATCAGATAGATGTTTCCCTAGTGAATCCTGCAGACTGGATCCTCAGTGAAATCCCTCACTTAGCTTCAGAGATTCTTAGAAAACCAGCCCCCCAGTTGTGCCAAAGCTGGGTCCTTGATGAACACAGGTAGAATTTTAACTGGACTGTCCAGAAGGGCAGCAGCCCTTCAGGCTGGAAACGTCTCCTCTTGGATAAGAACAGGGCTGCCTCAGATAACAGACTATTTTTGCACTGTCTAGCCTGCTGGGCACTCTCCCTCAGAGATTGGGTGCTATAACATAAATATTCAAGCTGCCAATTTGCCTCCTCCTGACCCATTATATTCTGGAATCCTCCAGAAATTATGGACAATCCCGAGGCACGCTTTAAAACTATGGACAGTGTTGAGGCACCCCATTCTAAAATGTGAAAAACTATTCTAATCGTTTTATATAACGCAGCAACTTCCACACATGTAGGACACCCAACACTAGAGGTGATTTATTCTTCCAAATCAAATACACTTTTGCACACTGGTACTGAGTAATATGCCAGTGTTTCTCTTCTCCCTCAGTTTTCCTCCATCACTGAGCTAATGTGACCCCAGCGCTGATGGAGAGGGGCAGGGGAGGGTCAAACTAGGATGCTGTGCAGGCAACTGATATCCTCCTTATCAATTGATGATGTCATTGGTTGTCAGGATGCCGGAGGATAGAAGGTCATAATGGTGCACAATGAAAGCCTGTGGTTTTGTGTAACTAAAAGGCAGGCTTGTTCCACCCGCTGGTTTGTATACAAGTCTTGGGAAATTTGCAGACATTTTGCCATGGCACCCCTGAAGAAACCTCAAGGCACCCCAGGGTGCCTGGGCACCCTGGTTGAGAAAGGCTGCTCCAGAAGACAGAGGGATGTAATCAAACATGCAGCCTGCAGAGCACAGGACAGCCCAAAGCAACCACAAACTGCTCCACTGACTGCAGGGCAGCCAAAAAGAACTACATTTTCTTAGCATATCCAGTATCCTAGTTAGGAGGATCTTCTGTGGAGCTCGCTTAAACCTCCAAATGTAGGGCAATGTAACAAAAATATAGACCACCTTCTGTGCTTTCTGGTGTCTCTTCTTATCCCACAAGACTTTCTTTTGGCCTGGTACTGTGATGGATATTCTCATTAATCAAATGTAAGCCACATGAATTGGGAGGGGGTGAGTAAGACCTTATTCACAAAATGTAGCTGTGCCCTGAGTCTTCAGAGTACTGAAGTGTTCCACTATGAGTACTCAGTGTCACTTTACAGTATTTTTGGGGCCCACATACAGTCATGGCCGAAATTGTTGGCACCCTTGATATTTTTCCTGAAAATCAAGTATTTCACACAAAAAAGGTATTGCATTAACACATGTTTTGCTATACACATGTTTATTCCCTTTGTATGTATTGGAACAAATATAAAACAGAGGCAGAAAAAGCAAATATGACATAATGTCACACAAAACCCCAAAAATGGGCTGGACAAAAGTATTGGCACCCTTAACTTAATATTTGGTTGCACACCCTTTGGAAAACATAACTGAAATCAGTCGCTTCCTATAACCATCAATAAGCTTCTGACACCTCTCACCCGGAATTTTGGACCACTCTTCCTGCAAACAGCTCCAGGTCTCTCTTATTGGAAGGACACCTTTTCCCAACAGCAATTTTAAGATCTCTCCACAGGTGTTCAATGGGATTTAGATCTGGGCTCATTGCTGGCCACTTCAGAACTCTCCAGCGCTTCTTTGCCATCCATTTCTGAGTGCTTTTTGACGTATGTTTGGGGTCATTGTCCTGCTGGAAGACCCAGGATCTTGGACGCAAACCCAGCTTTCTGACACTGGGCCCTACAGTGCGACCCAAAATCCTTTGGTAATCCTCAGATTTCATGATGCCTTGCACACAGTCAAGGCACCCAGTGCCAGAGGCAGCAAAAAACCCAAAACATCATTGAACCTCCACCATATTTTACCGTAGGTACTGTGTTTTGTTCTTTGTAGGCCTCATTCCGTTTTCGGTAAACAGTAGAATGATGTGCTTTACCGAAAAGCTCTATCTTGGTCTCATCTGTCCACAAGACGTTTTCCCAGAAGGCTTTTGGCTTACTCAAGTACATTTTGGCAAACTGTAGTCTTGCTTTTTTATGTCTCTGTGTCAGCAGTGGGGTCCTCCTGGGTCTCCTGCCATAGCGTTTCATTTCATTTAAATGTCGACGGATAGTTCGCGCTGACACTGATGCTCCCTGAGCCTGCAGGACAGCTTGAATGTCTTTGGAACATGTTTGGGGCTGCTTATCCACCATCCGGACTATTCTGCGTTGCAATCTTTCATCAATTTTCCTCATCCGTCCACGACCAGGGAGATTAGCTACAGTGCCATGGGTTGCAAACTTCTTGATAATGTTGCGCACTGTGGACAAAGGCAAATCTAGTTCTCTGGAGATGGACTTGTAACCTTGAGATTGTTGATATTTTGCCACAATTTTGGTTCTCAGGTCCTCAGACAGTTCTCGTCTCCTCTTTCTGTTGTCCATGCTTAGTGTGGCACAGACAGACACACAATGCAAAGGTTAAGTGAACGTCTCTCCTTTTTATCTGCTTTCAGGTGTGATTTCTATATTGCCCACACCTGTTACTTGCCCCAGGTGAGTTTACAGGAGCATCACATGCTTGTAACATTCTTATTTATCCGCAGTTGTGAAAGGGTGCCAATACTTTTGTCCAGCCCATTTTTGGAGGTTTGTGTGACATTATGTCGAATTTGCTTTCTTTCCTCCCTTTTTTTGTTTTGTCCCAATACACACAAAGGGAATAAACATGTGTATAGCAAAACATGTGTTAATGCAATACGTTTCGTGAGAAATACATGATTTCCTGGAGAAATATCAAGGGTGCCAACAATTTCGGCCATGACTGTATGTATTTTGGATATTTATGGAAATGTTATAGTAACTATAATTAGTAGATGCATTAATTAGTGTTTTTCAACCTTTTTTCAGTCAAGGCACCCTTCAGAATTGCGCACAATCCTGAGGCAGACCAGTCTGAGGGCTCGCTCACATAAGCAGGTGTGTCTGAGCACGAGCATTTGTTTTTTGCATGTTCCTGCGTGTTGTGTTAGGCTGCTCTATGCTAGTAAAGCATTCAAAAAAGGTGCTGGAATGATTTTTAAATTGTGCCCCACCAAAATGCATGATACTGCAGTATTTATAAATAAATAATTTGCGCTAGTAAATGTGTATAAATATATAAATATATATAAAGAAATCATCAAATCATAAGTCCAGAAAAAAATATATATATGCCAATACCACAAAAAAATATATAAAAAAACTTTTAAGTGCAAAAACTTTTGTGCAAAAAAAAAAAGTGTCTAAATATGAAAAATTTCACCAAAAAACCTTGATAATATAATGGCAGATCATCCATAAATATATCTTCAGAAACGGAAACTCTGCAACACACCGATCCTCATCGATCGAAATAACAGGATGAAAAACTTTGTAGTTAATCGAAAATCCACTTCTCCAATAGATAAAGGACCACCTTCAAACGTATCCATGGGGGGAAATGCCAAGCACTCGAGAGAAACAGAAAGACTTCATGGTGCAATATTATAAAAACCAATTCCTTTATTAGGTACTCATTGCACTTACTCAAGAGGTGTCCCAGCCGACACCAGCATCAACAGCATAACAGCAATCACATAAAAGAGCCTGGCTACTCAGCACATGCGCAGTAGCTGGCAGCCAAAAACGTAATGACGTCACATCAATCAAGCTATATTTATGGATGATCTGCCATTATATTATCAAGGTTTTTTGGTGAAATTTTTCATATTTAGACACTTTTTTTTTTTTGCACAAAAGTTTTTGCACTTAAAAGTTTTTTTTATATATTTTTTTGTGGTATTGCTGTTATGCTGTTGATGCTGGTGTCGGCTGGGACACCTCTTGAGTAAGTGCAATGAGTACCTAATAGAGGAATTGGTTTTTATAATATTGCACCATGAAGTCTTTCTGTTTCTCTCGAGTGCTTGGCATTTCCCCCCATGGATACGTTTGAAGGTGGTCCTTTATCTATTGGAGAAGTGGATTTTCGATTAACTACAAAGTTTTTCATCCTGTTATTTCGATTGATGAGGATCGGTGTGTTGCAGAGTTTCCGTTTCTGAAGATATATTTATGGATGATCTGCCATTATATTATCAAGGTTTTTTTGGTGAAATTTTTCATATTTAGACACTTTTTTTTTTTTGCACAAAAGTTTTTGCACTTAAAAGTTTTTTTATATATTTTTTTGTGGTATTGGCATATATATATTTTTTTCTGGACTTATGATTTGATGATTTCTTTATATATATATTATATATTTATACACATTTACTAGCGCAAATTATTTATTTATTGGTACACTTTATATATGGTGATTTTTTGCAGCTGGTACACTATTAGTAAGTTATATAATTTTGACCATAGGCGCTATTATTAATTTTTCTTATACTGCAGTATTTAATAGGTTATTACTGAGGATGGAAAGGCAGGTGGAGGTTATTGTTGAGGGTGGAGAGCCAGGTGGAGGCTATTGTTGAGGGTAGAGAGCCAGGTGGAGGCTATTGTTGAGGGTGGAGGATTTTGTTAAGGGCAGAGAGTCAGGTGGAGGTTATTGTTGAGGGTAGAGAGCCAGGTGGAGGTGATTGTTAGGATGGATAGCCAGGTGGAGGCTATTGTTAAGGGTGGAGAGCCAGGTGGAGGCTATTGTTAAGGGCGGAGAGCAGGTGGAGGTCATTGTTGAGGGTAGAGAGCCGGTGGAGGTCATTGTTGAGGGTAGAGAGCCAGGTGGAGGCGATTGTTAAGGGTGGACAGCCAGGTGGAGGCTATTGTTAATGGTGGACAGCCAGGTGGAGGTTATTGTTAAGGGTGGACAGCCAGGTGGAGGCTATTGTTAACTGTGGAGAGCCAGGTGGAGGTTATTGTTTAGGGTGGAGAGGCAGATGGAGGCTATTGTTTAGGATGGACAGCCAGGTGGAGGTTATTGTTGAGGGTGGAGAGCCAGGTGGAGGCTATTGTTAAGGGTGGAGAGCAAGATGGAGGTTATTGTTGAGGGTGCAGAGGCAGGTGGAGGTTATTGTTGAGGGTGGAGAGCCAGGTGGAGGCTCTTGTTAAGGCTGGACAGCCAGGTGGAGGCTATTTTTAAGGGTGGACAGCAAGGTGGAGGCTATTTTTAAGGGTGGACAGCCAGGTGGAGGCTATTTTTAAGGGTGGAGAGCCAGGTGGAGGTTATTGCTGAGGGTGGAGAGGCAGGGGTAGGCTATTGTTAAGGGTTGAGAGCCAGCTGAGACACTCAGGGAAAGCTATCAGAGGTGGGGGGGAGGTGGAGTCTTGCTCAGGGCAGGACACATTGTCATGGAGAAGGAAACTCACTACTCAACCGACACCAGCAGCTGCTTAAGAGGAACCCAAGGAGAGAAGGGGTGCAGCACATGCAGGGGAAGAGACTCAGGCTGAGCTAAGGGGGAGGGGTGGGGTCAGTAGAAAGGACACTTTGGGGACACTTAACCAGTTCCGGGCCGGATACAAATTTACCCCACACAGCCATGGTTAACTTCTGTGTACAGGGAGCAGGAAGAGCACATTCCATTTCTATTTCAGGCTCTCCCTGCTGCTATAGGTACTATTGCCGACAAAACCGAAAGCTCTGTGCACAGCCCGACCTTTTCTTAGAAACAGATGATGTAATCAGTCGGTAGGACATGGCCAGCTGGCTTGTACAGCTTTCACTTTTGCTTGCAATAGTACCTATAGCAGCAGGGAGAGGGAGAGAGCTCAGAGGAAGAATAGAATGTGCTCTTCCTGCTCCCAGTACACAGAGGTTAACACAGGAAACCTTTAATTGGACTGTACGAGGCTTTCTGTAATTTTGCCGTGGCACCCCTAGAGACTTTGTGGCACCGCAGGGTGCCGCGGCACCCCGGTTGAAAACCCTGCATCAATATACGAGTTAACACAAGGTGATCATTACCCAATACATTCATTTTAAACAGGTGAGATTCTTTAAAGTCCATAAATGCCAGCAGGCCACACCAAACAGCAAATGTTGTGGAAAATAGCAAAGTCCAATGTTCAAAGGAAAACTTACATGAGAGAAACTTAGAGGCCATCCTCAATGACTTATCTTTCTGAAAATTAATTCATTTTATTCATTCTCCTCACATTCTGAATCCGGGAGGATTCATCCTCTAGATTGACCCGAAACATACAAGAAGATGATGATTTTGCTTTGACTTTCCTGATTTGAACAAAGCTTGTTCCAGGTCAGTAGATATGGAAGTATTAAAGTGGTTCTAAAGTCAGAAGGTTTTTTTTATCCTAATGCATTCTATGCATTAAGGTAAAAAACCTTCTGGGTACAGCTCCGCCCCAGCTCCCCTTTATACTTACTTGAGCCCCATCTCGGTCAAGCGATGCGCATGACTGCAGCAGCTGTCCCAGGTCTCTCTCTCCTCATTGGCTCACACAGATGCTGTCAATCACAACCAGCAAGCCAATGAGGAGAGAGTGGGGGTAGGGCTGAGCCACATTCTGTGTGCCAATGGACAATGTCAATTCACAAGAGTGCAGCATGGGAGCAAGCCTGCTCGAGTGCCCTACGGTGGGGGACCAAAAAAAAAAAAATCAAGGCTGCCCTGTGCATAACCATTGCACAGAGCAAATAACTATAACATGTTTGTAATTTTTAACTCTGGAAGATTTTACCCTCTTCTGGACAAGGCCATTTTTTTGCTATTCAGCACTGTGTTACTATAACTGCCATTTGCCATAATTTTTTTCACACTAATAGAGCTTTCTTTTGGTGGTACTTGAACACCACCTGTTTTTTTATTTTTTATTTTTATTTCATTTATTTTTTTAATATATAAAATGAAAGAAGACCAAACATTTTGAAGAAAAAAAAAACAATATTGTTTGTTTATTATAAAACATATCCAATCAAAAAAAATTAAAAAAATCTAATTTATTCATGAATTTAGGCCAAAATGTATTCTGCTACATGTCTTTGGTAAAGAAAAATTCCAAGAAGTGTATATTAATTGGTTTGTGTGAAAGTTCTAGCGTCTACAAACTATGGTATATATACTGTATATTTTAAAATTGATCAATCCTGGTGTACTGACGATCTATCTCATTTCTTGAGGCCCTTAAAATGCCATGACAGTACAAATACCCCCAAGTGACCTTAAAAAATCAAAATTTTTAAAATTCAATTTTATATAATAAAATTTTTGAAATAATAGTCGTATGTGCAGCTCAGACCTCATTTGTGTCACCTATGGCACAACCATACAAGCGGCTGAAGATAGGGAACCCGGAAGGAAGACCGGACAAAGAAAACCACCAGGGACTAGGGAGAGCTGTGACAGCGCAGTGCTGGAGGGTTCTTTTTGCAGGTAAGTCTATCATGATGTCCTAGTATGCAGTGTATACTACAGTGTTTCTCAACTCCAGTCCTCATGGACCCCCAACAGGTCATGTTTTCAGGATTTCCCTCCGATGAAACAGCTGTGGTAATTACTAAGGCAGTGAAACTGATCAAATCACCTGTGTAAAATAATGGAAATCCTGAAAACATGACCTGTTGGGGGTCCATGAGGACTGGAGTTGAGAAACACTGGTATACTAGTACATTATGACTTAAAACTCCCGGGGGACCATTTTTTAATCTTTACTTAGATGACTTTACTACCGCTTTAATCTTTTCCTCAACAGTGAAAGTGGTGTCACACTTTTGGATGGACTGTCTGGCACATGTGTGTTAATCACAAAAGTGGCTGAACAGAATTACAAATTTTTTGGCAGGTCAGACAGTTCATATTTGTATTTTAACTGTAACTTTAGTGGTTTGGCTGGTGTTCAGCTATTAACAATAAGTGTTCTTTAAAACAAAGTGCACTTATCGTTTTTGCTCTCCATCCCTCATCTATACTAGTCTACCCTTACCCTCCCCAGATGCATACTCATCATAAGCCCCATCATAAGCCCCATCATTTCCACAAAAGACAATGAGAAAAGAAACTCAACAATATCACACAAAATATTTGATTACCTTCATAAAATCTTTCTGAGGACTCATTGGGTTGACCATATGCAGGCTTCCGATGATCGGCAGAGGTTTTGGCCCTGGAGGATAGTTTTTGTCTTGTTTTTGATCATTATAGACTGTGGCCAAAAACAGGATAACCACTATGAACAGAAGAACAGTGACAAGGTCCATGGCAACTATATATGTAACTGCCTGAAAAAAAAAAAAACAAAAAACATAAAAAAAAAAAAATAGATGATTAACTTTCACAGTGGTGGGGTAGAATAATGTTTTCCCCTGGCAAATCTTTAAGGGGAGATTTCCCTTCACGTCCTGTCCCATAGCCAAATTGGAAGTGAGAGGAAATCCCTGTAGATTAAGGTAATATCTTGGGGACCCCCAGGTCACCAGAACTAGTGTCCCCACTGGAACATTTTTCCCTCTATTACCTTTCTGGGGTCAACATAAAATTTTGGATTTTCTTTTACTTTCACTTTTTTTTTTTTTTAAAGAAAATTTATTAGTTTTAACAATATACAACCATAGAGAAATGATGATGTAGTTATGACATCCATGTAACATCAATTATGACCAGGTAGACAATATAGCGGCAAATAAATAAACAGAACATGACCTCATTGCAATGTTAGCATATATTAAAGGGCATAGATATAATACTGAGGTATACCAGTTGTGATGAATAGTTAGTGAGGAAAAATAATATAAGGAGGTGGAAGAAGGGAGGTCTGTATGTAGAATGGGGATGTAAGTAGATGTCATCAGTGTACCACCTATACCGTGTCTGAAATACAGTGTAGAGAAGAGCATCTGAGGAATCGGGTGGTGGGTGTAAGTGGTAGTGGTAAAAAGAGGTTACAAAAGAGAAAAAAAAAGGGTGGTGAATGAAAAAGGAGGGAAATATGTGAACAAATAAAGTGGTCAGCACAAAAAGAGTATTGTGAAGTGAAGATAAGATGCAATCGCACAGAAATAGAGAAGAATGTAGAGAAGAATGTACTCGGAGGCTTAGAAATGCTATAAAGAATTAGGAGTCAAATACTTTCACTTTTAATGATAATGGTAAACAGGACAAATAGAGAGGGTGAATCTACCTAACGGGGACACTGACAGCAATAAAAACTGATGGGGGATCTAATCCCTCTCTACTCTTTCCAAAACTAAAAAAACATGTTTTGCCTTTAGTTATATTTTTAAGTGTCTGCAGGCATACAGCATATCTCTCAACTGTCCCTCATTTGGGGGCAATTTACCTCTTTTAGAACCAAATCCTTCTGTCTGTATTTCTTCCTCAGTTGGATTGTGAAGTTTTTTTTTGTTTTTTTTTACAGAACTACAAACAGTTATCAGTTTTGCGCTTAGGAGAGACTATGGGATTTTTACAGCTTCAGGAAGACTATGTTAGACATACAGGGTTAGAAAGCCCCAAAATACATGACCGGATACCCCTGCCTACACACATTCAATGTAGATGGAGGAATCCTCCCCACTGAGTTATTGTGTTCTGACAGTAGAGAGACTTCCCCACCATCAGAATACATCGATCTGTGCTGCTGGCTATAGCAAAAACCCAACAGAGTGGTTGTACAGAAGTCGCACAGTAGACTGACTTCTATACAACCTCCCTGCCCATACTTGGATCGAATTTTGGCCAGTCCCTACTAAACCGGCACATTTCAATCCATGTTTGGTTGGCTTTAATACATTTCTGTGCTGGCCAAGCTGACCAGAAGTTTTGAGGGCAACAAATCTACACTATTAAGACAGTTAAACAAATGATCCTTACAACACAGCCTGAAAAGGTGAACTGTGACTAGTAGCAATGATTCTAAAATCTCCTCCTGTCAGTTCTTGATTGGAAATGTCACAGGGGTACAGGGTCAACAGCAACCTCTGCAATCCCTAATAATAAAGAGATGAATATGACTTATCTTCAATAGCACAAAGATTTGCTGTTTAAATTGCATTAAAGCCCCCCTCACTGTGCTCCCTTCTGCCCCCAGGCTCCATGCCAGCTATGAGCAAGAATGAATTATCAAGATAGCAGTTACATTTTTTGTATCTATTGCAGACTTACGTTCAGTACTGTCTTCAATCACCTACACAGACACATTCCTGCATCCTTTCATGAAACCAGTGCAGATCTGGACTTTCCCAAACACCGACGAGGTGTTTAAAACAAGTTTCTGGTTACATAAGTGTTGCACGCCCAGAGGTGATGTAAATAAGTGGGTGGTAAATAATCTGCCCGCTGCTGAATGTGCAATAGCAAAAACAAATATCACTCAGATACAACTTTATTCAGTGCCAGCAACACCATGCCAGAAAAAGAAGTTATTTAGCAACAAGGCGATTGCAATATTACATTACATAATGCAGAAAAGAATGCTCCCCAGAAGCTGAACAATTAATTTACCATTGTTATTAGTGCAGCTTTGGATGTGTTAATAAATCATTTAACCACTTGCCCTCCAGAGGATTTACCCCCCTTCCTGATCAGGCCATTTTTTGCAATACGGCGCTGTGTTACTTTAACTGACAATTGCGCGGTCATGCAACCTTGCACACAAATTAAATTTATGTCCTTTTTTCCCCACCAATAGAGCTTTCTTTTGGTGGTATGTGATCACTTTATTTTTTGCATTCTAAACAAAAGAAGACCAACAATTTTGATAAAAAATAGCAATATTTTTTACTTTTTTCTATTAAACATGTCCAATAAAAAAGTTTTAAAAAATCAAATTTTGCCATAAATTTAGGACAAAATGTATTCTTCTACATGTCTTTGCTAAACAAAATCCCAATACATGTATATTAATTGGTTTACGCAAAAGTTATAGTGCCTACGAATGGCAGTATATATACTGGAAATTTTTTTATACTAGTAATGGCGGCGGTCAGCGACTTATAGCAGGCATTCTGACACAGGGGGGGAACTGACTAACTGCCACTGACATCCCCAGTAACACCAATATAGTGGTTAGTACTAATAAAAAGCACTGGCACTGTACTAATGACACTGGGCAAGAAGTAATTAACATCTGGGGTGATCAAAGAATTAACTGTGTGCTGTTTTACTGTGTGTGCTGTGTGTGCTGTGTGCGTTTTACTATGTAAACATGCAGAGCAATACAAGGTAGCATGTTCGTGCTGACAGGTGAGAGATCTGTGTTGTATACACACAGACCTCTCCCCTGTCACTGTTTCTTGGTAATCACCGGGTGTTGGCAGGGAATCTCTGGCTGGGACCCGGTGATCAACAACTGTAAGCCACCAATAGCGGCATGGGTAGAGCGGCACATGTGTGTGCCCCCTACACGAAAATGCAAAACCATGCATATATATGTGATTTTTTGCAGCCCTGCTGTGCTGTGGCAGTAGTTCTGCTATAGGGCGGCGGGGAACCGGTTAAAGTAGAGCTAAATGCATAACTTTTTTTAGGTTTGGATAGAGCAGAGAGGGATTAGAACATCTAGGGCCATGGATAAGGTGGTACCACCAGTTCTTCTGTACGGAGACAGCAAGAGGACCAAGAAATCTGCGTGAATTGGAAGTGGGCAAGGAGGGTGATCGGCGTGGCAGGGGGCAATTTTCTAGAACCGACTCGCTGTATGGTTCTCTCTGCAGCAGCTGAATGTTGCCTTTTTCTCTCCCTCCCACTTGCTTTCAGATACAGCAGAGATAGCTATACAGGGGACTTATTCCAGTAATTGCCCCCTTCTGCACCCATTACCATCCCTGTGCACCATATGTTTCCCTGTGCTGCCCAGGTCCCCCTGTGTGCCCCAATAGCCACAGCGCTGCTGGCTTTCCTCCTCTCCTTCCCACCAGCAGCTGCAAGCACACAATAGGATCCTTCAGGATGCAGAGTGGGGGAAGGGTCTGAAAAATATGTCACATTTACCAGCCCCTTTCTTTCTTGAATGAACACAATGAGTTATTGGTACAGATCATACACTGTGCTCATTCAAAACTGAAGCACAGTAAACTGTGTTAGCTGTCATGCTGGCTGTATGGGGCCACATTGTTTCTAACAGCAGCCCTGATAACATCTGTGAGGTTTTGTTGCTGTCTATGTCCCCGTTAAGGAGATTCACCCTACTTGTCCTGTTTACCATTATAATTGAAAGTGAAAGTAAAGAAAATCCCAAATTTAGGGATGTCCCTAGAAAAGTAATAGAGGGAAATATTCCAATGGGACACTAGGGTCCCCAAGGGATTCCCTTAATTTGCAGGAATTTCCTCTCACTTCCTGTTTGGCTATGGGACAGGACATGAAAGGGAATCTCTGAAATGAGACACAGATGGCAAAAAAAAAAAAAAATCTGTCAAGGGTTATAACCCTCCCTTGTTCTATTCAAACAAAAAAACAAAAAAAAAGTTTTGCCTTCAGTTCTACTTTAAATGTTCAAAGAATTAACTGTGTGCTGTTTTACTGTGTGTGCTGTGTGTGCTGTGTGCGTTTTACTATGTAAACATGCAGAGCAATACAAGGTAGCATGTTCGTGCTGACAGGTGAGAGATCTGTGTTGTATACACACAGACCTCTCCCCTGTCACTGTTTCTTGGTAATCACCGGGTGTTGGCAGGGAATCTCTGGCTGGGACCCGGTGATCAACAACTGTAAGCCACCAATAGCGGCATGGGTAGAGCGGCACATGTGTGTGCCCCCTACACGAAAATGCAAAACCATGCATATATATGTGATTTTTTGCAGCCCTGCTGTGCTGTGGCAGTAGTTCTGCTATAGGGCGGCGGGGAACCGGTTAAAGTAGAGCTAAATGCATAACTTTTTTTAGGTTTGGATAGAGCAGAGAGGGATTAGAACATCTAGGGCCATGGATAAGGTGGTACCACCAGTTCTTCTGTACGGAGACAGCAAGAGGACCAAGAAATCTGCGTGAATTGGAAGTGGGCAAGGAGGGTGATCGGCGTGGCAGGGGGCAATTTTCTAGAACCGACTCGCTGTATGGTTCTCTCTGCAGCAGCTGAATGTTGCCTTTTTCTCTCCCTCCCACTTGCTTTCAGATACAGCAGAGATAGCTATACAGGGGACTTATTCCAGTAATTGCCCCCTTCTGCACCCATTACCATCCCTGTGCACCATATGTTTCCCTGTGCTGCCCAGGTCCCCCTGTGTGCCCCAATAGCCACAGCGCTGCTGGCTTTCCTCC